TTTGTCATGCTCTCTTTTCTGAAATTCAATAGATATAATTCAATGTTCGACGTGACAAATAGCCAGGAAAGTAGTTGTTTTCTGTTGAATATTCAGAATGATATAATATGCATATCTTTATATGAAGGAGAATGCAAATTGTCTCCTTCAGAATATTTCGTTTTTTAAATTCTCATCGTGTGTGTTCAATAGATGTGATTCTTTATTCGTCGTGGCATATAGCCAGAGAAGTAGTTGTTTGTTGTTGAATAAACCGAAAAAAAATTAATATCTTCATCACATGGAGAATGCGAATTCTCAATGTATTTCTTCATATATGTATGAATTTTTTTGTGTTCATAAATATATCTGAGAATATTCCTTCTCAATACTGAAAGTGAAACTGGTTATTTTCATAGACCTCAATCGCAGATTCGTGATTAGGTTTTCTCAATTCAGAATTTCCTTCCATGTCCTGTATGATGAATGTCAATTTATCATACATACAAAAACTGAAAGCTTATGTTATGGCGGTGCTGTAACTCAGAGGTCAGGAGTTTATTCAAATAGGTCTTCCAGGAGGTTGAATCAAATTTTCTGGAAGAAATCACACTAGGGTGAGGAAACAAACTAATGATCTGGAAATCAGGCAGGTAATGATAATGATTATTTTGAAACCAAAGGCTATAATTCCAAAACCAAAACTGAAACTGATCAATGTCAGGAGAGCTAAAGTATTACTCTATGTGTAGGTTAGTATTGATGTTCAGTTCACATACAATTCAAGAAGCATACAATAGTAATCAATACCCAATTATTGATCACAATTTACTTAGCTATCAGGAATAGTAGTGTGTCAGTATTTCCGTTTCAGCTATCATGAGTTGTTCAAATATCACTACTGAGTGCAGTACATCAAGTCTAGGTATTCAATGTCTTTCAGGATATACACAGAAACATGCCTTCATCAGGCAAGTTATGATTCTTGCTGGATTGCTACTTAGTTACTGGTTTGAGATTGCTTTTGTGATATCACTGATAACAAAGGTTCCTGGACTGGATTGGGATAACGTTTTTCAGGTACTCAGGTCTGTTTATCTTCAGTTCAGTAACAGGCAGGTCCCTGCTCAAGCCCCATTCTTGGAGACCTTCATTTCTGGAGCCCTCACTGATTGGCGCTTGTTGAACAGACTTCTGGAACCTGTCGGGGTGTCTCGAGCGTCAGATTGTTCATGAGGTGGTTTTCTCCACCTGCTCTGCACAAAAATATTTTTGAACAGGGGCCCAAAGTAGCACAATGAAGAAGACACAGAGGGTGCCTAGTAAACCAGGGGTCTGTTCTGTTGAGTCGACCTGGAATCAAGGGGCCAAGAGACTGTTGGCCTCAATTACAGACCCATGGGGAATTCTGTAATACTGGGTGCCATGGATAGATATTCCTAATCAGTAACCACTCATGGGTTGAATTGATCCCAATTCGATACTGCTCGTCACAAATATGGTGTCTGGAATGAATTCGACTTGTACCTTTGTTATCAGAACAGGAAAATCAGAAGCACAGGTTTATGAAAATTATTTCTAGTGCAACAATTGTTACATGAAATCAACAGATGAATGAATCATAAATAGCTCATACATCATACATTATCATATAATCAACTTGACCTTTCCATTGACATACGACCTACGTGAAAATGAACTTGATAACTGACAGTCCCAAGAAACAGTTTGTTCCACTGGGCATATGCGAACACCTTAGATCATTTGATCTTCAAGTGGGATTAGTTAGGTTAGGCAACAGGCAAGCAGAAAAGCAAAAAAAAACATATGCGAGCATCGGAATATATGTCGTTAACTTAATCAAGCACTAAGGAAAGTAGGCAGGAAAGTTGAGCAGTGCAACAACGAGAATCCAAAGCCTGGAAAGCGAGGACGAGTGCAGGTTTAGTGTGAAAACGAATCCTGTTGAGTTCTATGCAACCAAGGAAGGCGATTACCTCCCTTTTCGTTGGTCAGGCTTACTGCACAAGCACCTTCGATAAGTAGAAGAATAGATGCTGAAGGCCAGGGGCGGGTTAAGTAGGCCCGGTCTCTCTGAACAGACTAAAAAATCCGCTACCTAACTTATCCGATGTATGCCACTGGATTCTACTGAACTTATGATCAATGTCAAAACATGATCCGTTTGATTATTCAAAATTGAATCATCACAAAGCTAGCAACAATTCTTACTCTAGTACGTCAGGTACTGGATTTATACTGAATGTCTGAACACACGTCAACTGTTGACTTTCACGTGTCAATGAATTCTGTCAATGTTGTGAGTGGAACTGAATCATGCGAATGATTGAATTGAATTTTGATGGACTGGAAATATCGATTGATTTTCAATTTCATCGAACTGTTCAAGAATATGGGAAGCAAATTGAATGTGAGCTCTGATTGAAAAATCTGGACCACGAATTTGATTCGAAATAAAAATCAAACTTGGAATTGATAATCGACTGAGAGCTGAAATGCGAATCAATGTACACAGGATGATTATAAAAGTACTGATAGGACTGGATGATGCACAACCGGAAAAACACTTTCCAAAATATCGATACCAAACTGGACTCTGAAATCGAAGGCGAGTGGATGAGGATGAACGCCCTGCAGTCTGCAGATTTATACACGTGTGAGACCTTGGGCCGCGAAAACAAGCCCATACGGTGTTCTCGCTGCTGATTGGCTCGAAATTGAGCCAAGTGGAGCCACTGTTTCGACCTTGTGAACTTGCAGTGCGTCAGGATTTGGCCTTGACATACAAAATTTTGCGGAGAAAATCATTTTCTATGCTGGAAGGGCCTATGAACAGGATGAGCTACCGTTGCTTCCGCCATAGAGTGAATTCGAATCGAAAATATTCCGAAATGACAAAGTTAGATGCAGGTGAAAATTTCTGAACACATGTTTTAGTGACATCAGCCCAATATCCTATATTTTCAGTGAATAACTATGTTTTTTCTCTTAAGAAAAAACCAGGAAGTGCTACAGACTTATTCAAACATGAATGCATCGTCTTGAGTTATCACTAAGTTGATTTGCATAGCTTACAAGAGCCTCCTGACAACTTACCGTTCCTGTTCATCATCAATCCTTCCAATCAAGGGCTATAGCGCTCCTATATAACAAAAAGATTCCCTGATACTATCCTTGAGCTAGAAACATGATTCTGGCCTAGTTTGAAGTAGAGAAGTGTGTAACGAGTCGAGAAAGAATCTAATTTAACAACAATTGATATTCCTGGATATAGACTTGTGAATCACTTTAGTAGAAAACAATACAAAATGGGAGGTGTAGCAATTCATCTAAGACAAGGAAATGTATCTTTTAGACCCCTCAATTTGAATGCATTCAATGTGGAAATTCATTCTGAATTCTGTGGAGTTCTGATTCAGGAATTGAAAACATATGTGTTCACTTTATACAGATCTCCTTCCGGAGATTTCAAGAAATTTATTGATAACTTAGAACGTCTATTGAAATATTTTTTGAAAATGGACGAAACAGTCATAATTTTGGGAGATTTCAACATATTTTGAATTTATGAATGATAGTATGTTGAATGAACTATTATGTTTGTTGAATTCTTTTGGCCTTTCGGTAATTATTCATGACCACACTAGAGTAACTGCAGGAAACTCTAGCTGTATTGATAACATACTAACGAACTTTGACACCGACTTGATCAAAACTGGTGTTTTGGAACCATGTTTACCCGATCATTTTGGCAATTTGCAATCATAAACAGAAAACTCAATTCGTCTGAAAATATTTCTTCTTGCGAAAGAGCTATCACAACCTCTGGGTTACAGGAATTGGAAAATGCACTGTGTGATGTAAACTGGGAGATTTTTACAAAAAAAGGAACTGGACGCCAATTATCTTGCAAATTTCATGGTCGACACTTACCAATATTTGATAGAAAAAATATTTCCATTGCGAGAAAAGTCTTCACACAAAAAGCAGCTGATAAATTGGTTCAGTGACGAGCTGAAGGGTCAAAGATCGGTTTTGTCAAGTGTCAAACTGATTTCTGATGTTTGTAAGAATCCTGAGGATATAAGAGTATATAAGTCTTCGAAAAAGGAGTATGAAAAAAACATAAAAACTGCTAAGAAATCTGCATATGATGAGTACATTCGCTCTGCTGATAGATAACAAGTCTAAAGCAAGCTGGCGGATCATCGATTTTGAAAAAAACAAGACTAAATCTATTCCCCTCATTAATGATCATTTTGTTCAAGTGGCCGAATCCATCATAAAATCCCTACCTGGGATTCCTGAGAATGATTTACTAAATTTCTCAAAGATTCTTCCAGCACCTTCTCCTTCTTTTTTTCTACTCACAGTTACTCAACATGAAGTTATGGATACCATAAAATCATTGAAAAACTCTTCATGTGTTGATGTTCATGACCTAGATAGTAGAATCATCAATGAAACATCAGAAATAATTTTGAAACCTTTCACCAAATTGATCAATCTAATCTTCAGTACAGGAACTTTCCCAGATATTTTCAAATTCTCGAAAGTCATTCCCTTATTCAAAAAAGGAGATGTATCACAAATTGAAAATTATCGTCCGATATCCATCATTTGTATATTTTCCAAAATTGTGGACAAAGATTTGAAACAAAAGTTAACAAAATATTATGAATTGAACAATCATTTTTGTGATTCGCAATTTGGTTTTAGGGCTGGTCGTTCAACCACAGCGGCAGTAATGGATCTAGTGAGTGGCATAGTCGAGGGCCTCGAGCAGCGAAATCATATAGCTATTACGTTATGTGACCTGTCAAAGGCTTTCGACTGTGTCGCTCATGATATTCTACTGAAAAAGTTACATTTTTATGGCATCAGAGGGATTGCACTTCCCCTTTTTGATTCTTATCTGAGAAATAGATTTCAGATGTTCATTTCAATAATAAAACATCCGATTTTGAAGTAATGAATCATAGGAAATTATCGTTTGTATCGTTTGTTTGGTCGTGTTTATATCGTGCTCGTGTTAATGGTGAATTAACTGTTTATTAATCCATCTTTATGTTGGAAATTCATATCACAAGATAGACAATTCAACGAACTCTCCAGATCTTCCAAATTCGTGTCTGATTTGAGTGATATCTGTGATATAACAATGATTTAGATATTTAAACTGTATAAATATGAACTGAAGGTGATGAACAAAAACTAATCAAGCAAATACACAAAAACCATTTCCTCTATTTAGTGATAAGCTCTGCCTGGCTATCGAATCTCTTTATCGTCGCAACCAGAGGCGTACCCAGAGAAATATAATTCGCATTAATATGGATAACGAGCTGAAGAAGATATTATTGGACTTACAGGCTTCGAGTAAAGATATCAAGGAAGAATTGAAAGAAATAAAAGGAGCACTACAAAAACAAACGAATAAAATTGAACAAATCACAAATAAAATAAACGTTCTTGAAAAGGATAACCAGTTTTTGAAAGAAAAATTGAAATTCACGGAACGTAAAATCAAACGAAATAATATCGTAATTTTTGGAATCCCAGAGGAAGAGAATCCGCTGGCTTACTTCAAGAAAACTGTTGAAGAAAAGTTGGAAATCTCATTCGAAGAAACTGAAGTTGATAATATTTACAGAATCGGACAGATTAAAGAAGGTAGACCACGAGCTGTTATATTAGAATTCGTCAGAAATTTGAAAAAAACTGAGATCTTCAATAAAGTTACTAAATTCAGAGGCACCGGTATAACGATCAGCAACGACCTCACAGAAGAAGACAGGAAGGAACATAACGTGTTATACAAGAACTTGAAAATTGCAAGGGAAAAACAGTATCAAGCAAAAATCAAAGGAAATAAACTAATTGTGAACGGAGAAGTCTACACATATCAACAGTTGAAAGAACAGGAAGAAGAAACAGGGGAGAATGAATCAAATAATTTCTTCAGGACCAATAGCGCACCATCAACTCCAACTTTAAGAAACGGAAGTGATTCCGAAGAAACATCTGGCTGTAATTCGCATACACAAGCCAACTCAACCAATCAACCCACTGTAGGAGTATCTGTAAAGCCAGAACTGAAAAGGCCTGTATATACCAGATCAACATCAAAAAGGGGACCCGAAGATAGAGATCCTCCTTCACCAATAGTTAAGAAGTCTAAGTGAACTAATTCAATTTATTAAGTAATTGTTTTACAAATCATCTATATATGCACAACAAAGATCATCCCTTCTAGAAATAAATCTTGACACAACAAAAAAAATGGATCCATTTATTGAGGAATTGGTTTATGATGCTATACAAACACAAAAGGTAAGCACTATTCAAGAATTCAACTCTGTTTCACAAGAATTCAAAAATAAGTCATTCCAGATATTTCATACCAACATTAGAAGTCTTTCTAAAAATCTTGATGAGGCAAATATATTCTTTGAACAATTTGATGAAAGTTTTGATATTATTGCGTTAACAGAGACATGGAGTATACTCAATTTGAATCTCTATAAGAAACATGGATATAACCTAGTATATAATCAAGGAAACATCAACCAGAATGACGGAGTTGTAGTATATTTGAAAGATAAGTATGACTATACTTGTGCTATAGAAAATATAGGACCCGTTAAGGTGTTAAATATTTTGATGGCGCTGGGTATAAATAACAAAATCAGGATAATTGCTATCTACAGGCCACCATCTACTCGTCCATACCAGTTTAATGACAGTTTATCAGAATTTTTAGACAACAAACAAAATCAACCTGGTGAAACTTGTGTCATACTTGGCGATATGAATATTGATATCTTCTCTGGTACTGACTATTCGCAACAGTATCTTAATGTTTTGTCGATGAACAACTTCAATTCCTATATAAATGATTTCACTAGAGTTGATAAGAATAGTAGAACTTGCATAGATCACATCTTCATTAGAACAAGAATGGAACCTGTATCTCTTTTACCTATAATCTACGAGAGTTGCTTAACAGATCACTATTCACTAATAATTTGCATCAAATCAAATAATATTCAAAAACCAATAAAAACTCAATACTTCAAAAAAATTGTTAATTATGAAAAAATCAAATCAAATCTCGCTGAGGAAAACTGGGACCCAGTATACCAAACTATTGATGTGAATATCGCGGCAGATTTAATAATACAAAAAATCAAGACTATCATACATAAAAACACAAAACAAATGAAGATTAAAAAAGACGAGAAGAAAAAATATTGGATAACAAAAGCACTTGTCGTATCAGTTAACAATAAAAATCAATTATACAAAGAAGCAAAAGAGCATCCTCACGACGAAAATATCCAAAAGAAGTATAAAAATTATAGGAACAAATTAAACTTATTAATAAAGAATGCGGAAATTGATTTTTTTGATAAAGAAATTGAAAAAAATCAAGGTTCTTCGAAAGGATTATGGAACGCAGTGGAAAGAATGTGCAACGAAAATAAAAAAGGAAATATAATCAAGGAAGTGAAAACGCGTGATGGTAACATAACGAACGATAGGTATGAAATGTCGAATCTTTTCAATGAACATTATATCAATGTGGGGAAAAATTATGCAACAAAAATCACTGAACCAAATGGATATGTCGAAAATCATAAAAGGCTGAACCAAACTATGTACCTATTTCCTACAAATGATACAGAAGTCAAAGACGTTATAGAAACACTAAAACTGGGTAAAGCACCTGGAAATGACGGAATAACTTCAGAGATTCTGAAAATGAATAAGGATATTTTATGCAGACCCTTAACTCATCTCATTAATAAAGTATTCGAAAACGGGGAATTTCCTAACCAATTGAAATTAGGTATGATTAAGCCACTATATAAGCAAGGGGATAAAACAGATATCATCAACTATAGACCCATTTCCCTCATTTCAAGCGTGGCGAAAATTGTGGAAAAAATCATGAAGAGGCGGATTGACAGTTTTCTGAAGAAACATAATATTATTTCGGATAAACAATTTGGATTCCAAAGTGGTAAAAATACAGAAGATGCAATAGCACAGCTAACGAAACTAATATATGAAAACCTTGACTGTAGCAAACCGACACTAGCTATTTTCGTTGATTTGGGTAAGGCGTTTGATAAAGTAAGTCACTCGAGATTATTAACAAAACTAGAAAATCTAGGATTCCGTGGTAAATCACTAAGCTTGATCAAGCACTACCTCACAAATCGTCAACAGTATGTTACAATTGATGGAGTGAAGAGTGAATTGAAAACAATAGAACATGGCGTACCTCAAGGGACAGTGTTGGGTCCGGTTCTGTTCAATATATATCTTAATGACTTGCTAGATATGCCAAAAAGAGGTAGGATTCTTAGTTTTGCGGATGACACGGCAATAATTTACAGGGCAGATAGTTGGCAAAACTTGAAAAAGTTAGCCGAAGATGATTTCATGTCAGTAAAAAATTGGTTTGACGTGAATGTCTTAACAGTGAATGCCGATAAGACTAAATATCTTCCTTTTTCATCGTATCACAATCACTTACCTCCATATAATGTTCTAGAAATGCGTGACAATGTAGGTAACATCAAAATGCGAATAGGAGAGGCCAGTTCGATTAAATATCTGGGCATTATGATTGATAGACATATGAGATGGAACGTGCATATCAACTATCTGTGCGAAAAATTACGAATGCTGTTACCAAAATTCAAATTTATTAAACAATTCCTGACGATTCCACAATTAAAATCAGTTTACTACTCACTAGTCCAATCTCAACTTTCCTATGGCATTATTGGGTGGGGCAGCGCTAGTAGTACATACGCAAAGCATGTTGAGGTTATTCAAAAATGGATTCTTAAGATTATATTCAATAAAACCCGCTTATATTCTACCGAAAGATTATATGAAGAGTCGGGAGTGTTGGATTTGAGACAGATTTACAGCCAAATACTCTTAATATATCTACATAAAAACAAAATCAATATTCGATATAGAGACCACGTTTATAATACCAGGAGCAAAAAATCTATCGCCGAAAAAAAAATTGCAAAAAAAGCTATTGGGTTGAGAAACCATTCCTATATAGCTCTGAAAATCTACGATCTCCTTCCAAATGAAATAAAAAACATTGAGATGACGTTCAAGTTCAAAAAAAGAATAAAGAAATGGTTACATGAAACACCTAGAATGATTATACATGAAATCATTGATGTGAAATCATAACAAATATTCATTCCAAAATAATAATGATGGAAAAAATATTGCTTACCTTTTTACTGTGTTTGTATGTATGTTCACAATGAAGTATGCCCATGCTCAACCCTAGGGTTTTATGGGTACCTCAATGTTTATTTGTTGTTAGTGTACATTATTTTTGTGTTGAATTATGTTATTATATTACTAGTTGTTATTATCACTTAGACAAATAAATATTATTATTATTATTATTATTATTATTATTATTATTATTATTATTATTATTATTATTATTATTATTATTATTATTATTATTATTATTATTATTATTATTATTATTATTATTATATTATATTGTCCATATAATGTTGATTCGGATATTATAGTTCTATTTATATTACCTATTATTTTTTTTTCTAGTTTTCTGCTTTGTTGATGATATAAAGACAATATCTTTGAATATATGAATGTACTAAGTTGGTGAATATTGAATGATGATCACAACCTCGTTATCAAGAACACTGTTCTTTTAGAGGGAATGATGATTACCACTATCAGCCATTCAAGTACATCGTACTTTTGGCATTACCCCATGTTTATTTTATAGATTCATTTTATACACTGTATTTATCAATTTGCCACAAAATAAACATATTATTATTATATTATTATTATATGGTGTGCCTCAAGGCTTTGTCTTGGGGCCACTTCTATTCATTATTCATGTCAATGAGCTAAGCAGTTTCATCACCCCCTTTAAATGTGTCCTTTTTGATAACGATACGTCATTTATATGTTCGAGTCCAGACTACCATAGTTTATTAAAAAGGTCTAAGGAAATTGAAGGAACGGTTGAGAGATGGTTCAGAGCACACAATCTAAAACTCAATAATGACAAGTCTCAGAGGCTCTTCTTCCGTACTCGTCAGCATGGTGAAGAGAAACGAGAGGTAAAATTACTCGGTGTCACCTTGGATCTGGGATCGGGTTGGAATTCCAATATAGAACATTTGAAGCATAAATTATCAAGTGCATTGTTTCTTCTACCTCAGCTCAGACATGTTTCAAATTTTGAGACTTTAAGCACAGGGTATTACTCACTTTTCCAGTCTCATATGAGCTACGCAATTATAATGTGGGGTAATTCTTCAGCTGCAAGTGCTATTTTCGTTCTTGAAAAAAAAGCGATAAGAATATTGCGTAATGTAGGATATATAGATACCTGTAGAGCGTTATTCACCAGATTCAAAATTATGACTATTCCGTCTCTATATATTTACAATTCACTTCTTGAAATCCATAAAATATCGTCTAATCTCACTACACAGGCCGTTGTCCACCATCATAAGAAAAATTCTAAAGACTTCAATCTTTATAATGCACTGCCACATCAATTTGAAATCTTAAATATGAATGAGTTCAAACGAACAATCAAATCGTATCTGTCAATTAATAGTTTTTATTCTATCGATGAATACGTTGAAAATATTTCAGGTGCTACCTTTTTCCATCAAGAACATACTTACCGACTGTTCATTAGAATTAGTTTATGAATATTTATTATGTATTAACCTTTGTATGTTTGTTCTTGTGTAATGGTGATGTTTTATTATTTTCAAATCTTCATTCGATTGTTTTCAAAATATTATTCAGAGACACAAATGACCTGCTATGAATATGCATATGTATATGATATAGTCAAATAAACTATCAATCTATTTACCTTTATGATCAGCTATGTGCCAAACATAAGGTTAGTACCTGTAATCTATGTCCGGAATTGAAATAAAGACGATGAGACAGGAATTTCTACATAAACTCCCTCTTAGTAATGAAGTGCTCATAATGCACATAATATTCTGAATATTAACCAAAAATGAAGTTTTTTCTGGTTATTTATCTAGTCGAAAATTAATTCATATATGTTGAACATCCAAGAGGAGGGCACGAAAAATCAAAATCCTCTAGAATTGAGAAATCTCCTCCTCTCCCAAATCGGATGAATAATATGATGTGAAGGACAAGTATATTTGTGCAAACTCTGATTTTGATGAGCTTGAAACTTCCAAAAGAAAACATTCGTATCAGTGATATGAGAATTATATCTCTCACAAACAGGTTATATTAGTTTAATTGAATCGATTCATTCCGGATATCTAGTCGTACTCAGTTACCTGAAGTCCAGTTATTCTCTGAGCTATTTTTTATGATACACACAATTCTTATCTCTATATAATATAACTTAAACTGTAACGAACTGACATCTGAGAATCATCATTAGTTGACATACTCCTGTCATCTAAGTGTTCCTGTTTTCGAATGAATGACAAATTGATATTCATAATACAGGACGTGAAAAGAAATTCTGAATTGAAAAAACCTAATCACAAATCTGCGATTGAAGGTCTATTGTTATCGTGAAGAGTATTCTTTGATATATTCGATTCGATGATTGATCTCCTCATCAGACAACAACATCGTGACATTTTGAAATAAAAATGACCATTTGGAATGTCAAAATCGAAATGAAACATCATGTATCCATAGCAACATAGTAGGGTGATAACAGACCATGTGATCTGTGTTCAGTTCATTTGATTGGTTGTGTTCAATTACATGTTCAAATTCACAAGGTTTTTCTTGTAGGAATCCATTCATTGAGAACGTTATTTGAAGCCCAGCATCGAATGATCTAGAGCAAGATTCATTTTCACTCTTCAGTGTTGATCAACTACATCACCGAATGATCAAAAATAAGTGGGATTCATTGTTTTATCTCTCTGGGATTTTGAAAAGACAGTGTTGATGTATAATTCTATGTCAAAAGTAATTTAAAACACCTTGTATACATCGCTGGAATCAGTATAAGAGAGCTTCCAGAATGATTATTGTTTAACAAATATGTAACGTTGCGTAGATGAATCAATATCACCACGTTCAATCCCATCGAAAGTTACGATGGAACAGAATTCCCAGTTTCCCTGTATTTCTAATAATAACGAAGAAAAAAAATTCGAGCTATGAGAGATTCCACCTCGATAGCCAAATTTGAAAATTCAAAATGAAGCTTGAAACAGATGGTGGATAATTCTGTATTACCCAATCTGTTCGCAATGAAATGTGGATAGGTATGTACAGGGTGCGTCTATCAAAATTGAACCTTTCCCAACTCCTCATTTTTTGAAGATATGATAAATTATGGAAGTTGGATGCAATAAATAGAATTCCTAGATGTATTTTGGTATACAGCGTCTTTTATTCTTCAGATGTCAGTCTTTGATGTCTGCCGAATTAATGGGTTTGTGCACTTTATATCCTACTCCTCTCTGGTGTTTTACTCCTTATTCTCATACAAGTGGATGGGTTTACGACGTCAACGTCAAGTACTAGTCAAAATATAAAAATCTCTCTAGAGGGGCGGCATATTAGTGGAAGGGACTATTCCATTCTGATATCGAAATATCTGGAACTTATTTGAAAAAAAATTGAGTTCATGATGGTTGCTCGAAGACGATACGTTGAATCAGAAAATTGATTTGCATCAACGCCTGGAAAAAATATTTAGTATAAAACCATTGAAGAAATTATGAGGGAATGAAGAATTTGATTTAAGTTAATTTTGATTGTGTGAAAGATGCACACTCATTATAAATACATAATATTCACTCCATAACTTCATAGGTTTGGCAAGTTGGCTAACAACTTTCAGGTATCGCCACCTACGTATACGAATTCAACAATTCTTCAATAAACAGGGCGATTCAGGTTTCGAGGTACAAACTGGAATGAGAGATAGATCTCATTATTTTAATCAAACAAGTTATTATTTGAACATCAGTCCGATCTTGTTCAGGAGCAGCTACCCAGGGGGTCAAGGTTCAATCATTTTTACATTCAATTGAAATATCTCACTAACTTTTCAAGATATCATTATATGATATGTATGGTCGATACTTTCTAGGAGGTCATGATTTCAAGACATTCGAACATTTTCAAAATCAACGGGGTGATACGTTGTTGGCAGTAGAGGCTTCTTCATCTACCTCAATTTTTTTCGTAGAACGCCTATGACATCTTCCAGTGATCAAGTTGTGTGGATCGTTCGAGTAAGAGGCTTCCTTCTTTTCAATTTCTTCCGAGAAATAAATGGTTTTTAAGATAAATGAGCATATACGTTCTCAAACATGTTATTTTTGCTCATGTTTCGCTTCAGTTTCATTCTTTGAAAATTTAATGAAATGTACTCATTCGAATTGCGATCACGAGTCCATTCTGTATCAGTAACGAGGATATAGAGGGTAGAGAGTCAAAATTTGTCTTCAGTCAAATGATGTTCGAGCAAAACATAGGCGAAATTGACTTGTTTCAGAAGGTTCATGCTTATTCATCTCGAAAACGATTTGTTTCTCGAAAAGAATTGACAAGCACTGCGAAAGAGTTTGGGTGCGGGATAAAAAAGCCTCTACCTCCAAAAACGTATCATCCCGTAGATTCTTAGAATCTCTTGATGGCTTGAAATGATTATTTCCTTAAGAGAATTGACCACATTGAATTTCAGAATGATATCAATCAATGAAAAAAATTATCGAACTCTGAACCCCTGTAGCTCCGCTACTGAACGAGATCGGACTAATGTTAATATAAACTCCTTCAATTGAAGTGATGAGATCTATCTCATATTCTAGTTTGTGCCTTGAAACCTGAATCACGATGTATATCAATACGTATTGTAGAAATGAAATAGCAAAACTGAAAGCCGAAACAAAATTGATTCATTTTTAAAAAATTTATCGTTTAGAGTGACCCGAAATTATCTTGCCAAA